GGGTGCTGGAGCGAGCGGTGGCCGGGGGCATTTACCTCAGGCAGCTCCCAGGGGGTAGCACAGCAGGGCTGAGGCAGCCCTGGCCCCATGCCTCTCCGGCAAGTGGCCGGCACATCCCTGAAGGGCCGGGGGGCATGTGGCTCCGTGTGCTGCCCTCGCCCGCAAGCAGCACCCCCACGGCTCTCACTCGCCCTGCTCCACCCTGGCCAACGGGAGCTGAGGGGGCCGCGCCTGCAGGCGAGGACAGTGTGCAGTGCCTCCCTGATCCCCAAGAGCCAGCGCTCACAGCTCCAGCCCAGGGGCGGGGGGCAAGGCTCAGGGCTTCCACCCCGCAGCACCGAGACTTGCCGAGGGCCAGCTGGAGATTCCCCGCCCCTGCGCCACCGAGCCCACACCAGGGGTGTAGAGCAGGATCGTTTAAAAGGGGCAACTTTTACGTGTAGACGAACCCCGAGTCCTCTTGCCCTGGCCAGAAGGGAGGCCGGGGCGCTGAGCGGTGGCAGGAAGGGGTTAAGGCAAAGGAGCAGGGGGCGGAGTCTGGCGCTTGAGCCTGTTCCTGGGCCTTGACACTTTTGGCAACAGAGCCGGCTATTGTGGGGCCGCTTGCAGATGCTCCGATTTAGGTCAAATTGGTCGGGGAGGGGGGTTGTAATTATGTGGCATGTGCCTGGGAGCAGCAGCCTAGTCTGGGCGGGCGGAGAAGTGGGGGCCGTAGTCCAGGGAGGAGCCCGGAGGAATTGAGGCAGCCTCACTGGCTCGTTCTCCCACCTCCTCTCCGCCTCCTGGAAGAGGATGTTGGCAGAAGTCCTGCAGGATCCCAGCCCCGGGGGCCGCAGGCTGCTGCAGTTGGGAAAGTCAGGCAGAACCCCTCCCTTGACGGTCCTTTCTTCACCCTCTCCCCGCATTTATCCAGCCTACCTGCAGCGTGCTGTCTGAGCATCGCCAGCCATCGGAGGGAGCGCGTCTAGAGCAGGAGAAGGGCCGTCTGGGCTCCTGGGTTCTCTTTGCAGCTTGGGCTTGGTGCCTCGGTTTCTGTGTCTGTAGAATGGGCGCATCGTGAGGCTGCGGAAGACTTTGACATCATCAGGTGGAAGGGCTGAGCTCCATGGCCACTCACTCCATGTCCCAGGGTGCAAGGGGCACCTCTGCTCCTGGCAGTCTGGGGCTGGAGGTAACAAAGCTGGCCATATAGGACCATGAGCTAAAACAGGGAAACATCAGGCCGGAGGGCCAGATGCGGCCCCGGCTTGCCTGGATCCGGCCCCCGAGGCTCATGCCCCCCCCTCCATTCTAGAATCCAAGGCAGTCAACGAGATGCTCCATGTGTCTGGTCTCTCGGGCAGCAGGAAGCGCTCTGGGGCCTCGACTTTCAAGTGTCTGCTCAAGTTTTGGGGAGCCCAGCGGGAGGCACCTGGGGGCTGGTTTTCAGGCGGCGCTGCACCCCCAGAGTTCCAGACGAATCCACAAGCAGTGAGGGTGCTCGGCTCCCCCTCTGCAAAATTACACCCGGGTGGGGTCCCCAAAAGGGAGGCACCCGAACTGGTGGGCGCACAAAAAGTTTCGGAGGCAGGGAGGATTCTAACTACATCACTGTCTGGGGAGAATTCGGTCCCTGCAAAGGAAGATCAGAGGGTGATCTGATTACAGTGGCCCTCTGGAAGGAGACATGACCAGGTCTGAAAAGGATCTTGACACCTTGGCACCGGCTAGGGCACCGGGCCGGGAGCTAGATATTCCCGTGGCCTCTCCTGGCTTTAATCCCCATCCGCTCTGGATGCTGAGCTCTCACCCCCCATGCTGTGTTTTCCATACAGGCATCTACACCAGTAACAAGGATCCCATTTCCCATGGCGCGGGGGTGCTCCGGGCCGTGTGCAGCACCCCGCTCTCCTCCAGCCTCCTCGCGCACCAGGGCACCTCCTCCCTCCCTCAGCTCA